AAATCGGTCAAATTGTATTTTATGTTATTCTATACAAACATAGAAAAATCTTTCCTATTTACAATTTTATTATGGTGTATAGTAACAATAAAATTATTGTAATGAACATGTCTAATTGCAATGTTCTTAAAACTGTTGTGTCAATGTGGGTACTTAAAAATTACAATCCAAATGATTATAAAACTAAAATAGAGGACAATGTTGTGAAATTATAATGCCGTCACGAGTGCAGTTTGTCATTGTCCACTTATGTTGGGATTAACCTAATTTCCATAATTAATCTAAAAGATTAAACTGCACCGCAGGTAATTTGCGTCAATTTAATTGCTTACGTTAACAATTAATTTTAATTAAACACATAAATATATTATTATTTGACTATCGTAATTATGGATTGGTGTTATTGGTTCTTTACTTTTTCTAGTTCCTGTTAATTAAATTAGTTTATGTTAATGCATTAACAATGCATAGTCCTTGAGATATTATTATTAATTTCAGCTAGTTTAATATGTTATGAATGTTGAATGTCCGTAACTTAGGTCCCTTGTTTTGTATATTTTAAGTACTTGCATAACTGCTCCAGTAGGCTTATATTATGTGAGGTGTAAGAACTAAAATAAATAATTTAACTAGAGAAGATTAAATACATAAACCGATGTTTCAAGTCTAAATAAGCAAATTATTACGTTCATTTTTGTTGAATTGTGTTACGTTTACGAATCGAAAGACAATTAATTCAAACAAATATATGTTCTGTCAATAAAAAGCAAACGCGAAATGCGAATTAGCCAAGTTTATCACTTCATGTAAACAGTACTTATCGTAACTAGTAATATTTCTTTACTCTTTCTAGTTACTGTTAATTTTAGATTTTGTTATTATGGTTTTAAAGTTACATAGGTATTATGTAATTATTCCAATTTTATGTATACATAAATTTACGCTAGTTTAATAAATTAAAGATGTTAAATTAAATTGTAACAACTACTCGTACTAACAATTTTCAATTTCTTATTTTATTTTTTCGTGCAAAAACTACATTGAAATTTCTCTTGTTTCTTACGTTTATAAGAATAACGAAGAATTGTAAATGTGGATTTTTTTTTGTAATTATAAATATAAATGTAATATAATATTATTACGGATATATATATTATATATATGAACGAATATCTGTTCGTTTGTCTCGCTAAAACTCAAGAATGGCTGGACCTATTAGGCTTATTATGATTCTTGAAATATTTGTAAAAATTTAGGAAAGGTTTAAACGGGAAATATAAGTTATTTATATTTTGAATTTTCTAATAAAAAACTGTTCCTGGCTGGGATATTTGATCTCTTTTGTCTTGTTAGAAATAAAAAAAAGTCACTTGTTTATTATATATTTTAAGATGCCTTCAGAAATTTGTGTTTCATAGTTATAGTATAAGGTCTGATTAGTTTGTTTTAAAAATTTTGTATCGAGTTTTGGCACAAAAATATGTAGGTGATACGAAGATTATAGTTAATTAATTAAAATAGCATCAATTCATATTAGAAATAAGCACTAACTATATCGTTTGAATGAATTAAAGCATTTTTAAAACCGCTTATGTTTTCATCTCATAAAATAATTTCCTCTACGCAAAGTTTAAACGTGTGACACCCAGCGATAAAGTAGAACAAATTAGCCGTTGGAAGACACTGAATTTCTCGTAACAGCTTTACTTAAGTATCAAACTTTTGTCCCAAGTTGGCTATACGACAAATGGTACAGGAATAAAACAAATAATAATAATATTTCTTCAATAGCAGGCTTTTATAAAAGAAGTTAGTTTTAATAAAGCTTGTAGTTTTACCCTCAGAGAGCAAGAGATCGTAGAATGATGGAACATGATGTCTTAGTACGTCAGCTTGAGACAAGATAAAATCAATAAAAAAAGCTAAGTATATCAAAATTTAACAGAAAGTCACAAAAAAATTGAGTAAATTTCTATGAATAAATTTATATATTTACTAAATAAAATAAGAAATAAATGAAAAATATATTAACTAATTAATAACAGGTAATATACTCACTTTCCAATGCCTGAAACATCAAGGCACCAAGAATACTATAGACCAATAGACACAATGTCAAAAAGAAATGCGTAAACCACTTTTTCGACCACAACTTCAACTTATTGTAAAACCAAAACGCCGTCTTTTCACCAGCACTTAAACCACTTTTCGCGGTGTTCATCGTAAAGTCTTTGAACCCTTCGAACTGTTTGAACATGAACTCTGACGCTTTATTATGGTACATATGGACGAAAGGATTAAAGTAAGGATTGGCTTCAGACATGTGGGAGATTGGGGATTGGGGCATCTTACCATAGTACTGCGTTTGGCCCCAGTGGATCGAAGATGGGGTATTAGGAACTCTTGAGGTAGGGGTTGGCATGGTGAGGGTTATCTTTGGTCGGGAAGGCTTAGGTGGAGGCGGAGGAGGATCACTTGGTGGCACATCGAGGGAATCCAT